GTGTAGAAAAGGAAGTCTGAAATCTGTTATATTTATTTTTACAAGTACATGATATTCCATATCAGAAAACTATGAAGCAATTCACAGGAAGAAACAAAAGAATTAAAAAGCTTGAGTAGAATTTATGATGTCTAACTCCAGAGGTAGACAGGAGAACCAGGAGGCCAAGTCCATTTGTGGCTATATAGCAATGGAGATCAGCCTGAACAACACGAAACCCTGTCACAAAACAGAAACAAACAAACAAAAATCCTCAAACTAAACCAAACAAAAAACTTTGAGATTAAGAACTAGACATTTTGTAGGAAGAGGGTGAGAAAATTGTACTGGGTATGCATGTGAGCTCTCCTGCAAGGACACATTAAATCTGTATGTTGGGAAGTAACTGTCCTACTTGATATTAATGTTGCACAGAGTGAAAAGAGAGACCATTTCAAGATGTTATGATTTGATGAGTAGTAATAGCAGTTATTACAAGATGATGCTTAAGCAGTAACAGCAACTAGTTAATACATGCTAAGTCTAATACTAAATATTTCGCATGCTCTGTCTCTTAATTCTTACAGTGACACAGTGACACTAAATAACATCACAAACCTAGTAAGACAATGACAAAACAGAGTACACAGCTCATGAACACAAGAGACCAGTATATTTGTGTTGATGGAAAGTTTTCTGGCCCAGCAAGGTCCCACCGTACTGGAGCCTCAAATAAACACACAGATGCTATATTACTTATAAAACTGTTGGTTGATGTCTAGAGCTTCTTATTGGCTAGCTCTGTCTTAACTATTAACCCATAACTACATGACCTTTTCTTACTGGAGAACGCCTGGTGCATCCTGTCCTCCCAATCTCCACTTGGCAATTGTTTCTTCCCATCTTTCCTGGAATTCTCCTCCTCTCCTAGTCCCACTTATCTTCCTGCTTTATTGGAAACAGTGTTTTATTCACTGACAAATAAGAGAAACATATACACAGAAGGACAACCCCCATCACACTTGATTTCAGAAATGGGATTTATTTACTGTACTTCTGAGACCTGACACAAAAATCGAAAGTGAGCTGAGGCCAAAGTATGCATGGTGGATAAGCAATATAAATGTGGCTTTACTGTGTAGCTATAAACAACTGTAAGGGAAGGGGAGCAGAGACAGTAATGTGCACAGGCGCAGCAGTGTGGGCAACAGATGGTTGGCTGCTGGTGATTTAGGTAAAAAAACAGTTGTAACAGATTATATGCACGTCCCCACACATCCACACCTGTGTACACACCACTTTGCTCTTATGCTCATTGGAGTAGTTCGCAGCTGTTATTCCTTAACAACTAGGAAGTCTTTCACCATGTTAAGAGGAGAAGGGACCGAGTCTGTATTTAGGTCTGTGCTTCGAAGGGAGCTTATTTTCCTGAGAGCATGGCAGTGAACCTGTAGCAGTCACTAAAACACTTCGGGTTCTGTGATAGTCAGAGACACAACATCCGAATCCTTTGAGAAGTAATTACAGAAACTAATTTCTTGGCTCAGCACGTTGTCTGTGAATGGGTGACATTATCGTGTACATGCACTAGAGTGTTTGCAGATCCTAACTGTCCAGGTTTATTTATTTACTAATTTACTTTTAAATGGCTTACATTTAATTACTTATGGGAGGCAGTGACCATAAGAAGCATGAACGTGAAAGTCAGAGAACAGGTTGAAGGCCTCTATTCCCTCTATTCTCTCCTTCCTCCATATGGGTTCTGAAGTTGAAGTCAGTGCAGCTTGATGGGAAGCAGACATATTTGCCCAGCTATCTTGCCAACCCTTATTTATTTATTTGTTTGTTTGTTTATTTAGAGACATGGTCTTATGTAATCTAGTCTAGACTTGAGCTAGATATCTGGCTAAGGTTGACACTGCACTTTTTTTTTTTTTGGTTTTTCGAGACAGGGTTTCTCTGTATTGTTTTGGAGGCTATCGGTCCAGCCCAGCCTCGAACTCACAGAGATCCGCCTGCCTCTGCCTCCCGAGTGCTGGGATTAAAGGCGTGCGCCACCACCGCCCGGCGACACTGCACTTTTGATCCTTCTGTGTCTAGCTCTGAAGTACTGGGATTACAAGTAGTGCCACCAAGCCCTGATTATAAGGCGCTGGGATTGAATACTGGGCTCAGGCATGCACTCTCTCTACCAGCTTACCTATATCCCCAGACTCCTTGGTAGTGGTTTAATAACCATTTTTATGTTACGGCTCTGCCTATGACTTGGAGATAGAATGCTTTCCTAGTATGAACATGGCTCTGGTTTCTACTTCCAGCAACACACACACATACACAAATAAAATATAAGAATCCCCTTGTGGTTACCAGAAAGAATTCCTGCTGGAACATCCATGTGCAATCACTTTCATTGATGACCCTCTCACTCTCTCTCACTGACTCTCTGGAGGATTCTCTGAGCTGAGCATGAAGGATGAGCTTAGCTTCGTAGATTAGAAAGTAGAACCTTCAACAGGTTGAGATAAGTTCACCCCAGGAATTCGATTCTTGACCTTAGTTCTTTCTGCTATTGGACAAGGATAATACATTAACCTGCTCTTTGAACTTCAACTTGGCTGTCTTCCAGACTGGGCCAGATAATGCCCTTAACAAGCACCGGAAGAACTCACTAAACTAGAACACTCCACCCTGATTGTAGGTCAGGAGAGAAATTTTGATGTCTCATTGAAATAGATAGGTAAAAAAATTATATCTTATCCTATTTTAAAATATTTTTTGAGACAGGGTCTCACTATGTAAACTGTACCAGTCATGAACACATAGAGATCCTCCTGCTTCTGCCTCCCAAATTCTGGGATTATAAGCATGTGCCTAAATGTATTTTCAAAAGTTACTAATTAAGCTGGACATGGTAGTGCACACCTGTAATCCAGGCCCTCAGGAGGCAGAGGCAAGTGAATCTCTATGAGTTTGTGGCCAGTATGGTCTACATAATGAGTTTCAGGCCAGCTATAGCTTCATAGTGAGTTCCTGTCTCAAAAATAAAAAAATGAAAATTACTAATTCATATAAATAGCATTTTTGTCTATATGTGTTTAACATTTTGACTTAGTTAACTTGCCTCCCTTCATTCTTAGCTATTTATTTATCAGCATATCAGCTTTTTATTATCAGAAAATTACTTTTTAATGTTTGTTGATTGACTTTTTCATTGGGGTGTTTTTTCCTATGGGAAAATATTCCATATTTGAAGTTTATGAAGTAATCAGACATCAATCTTATATAATCTAGAATGTGAATTTATGCTTCTCGGAAAGATGTTTACTTATTTTCAACTAAAATGTATTTTCTTATCAGTGAAGTAATGATGTAAAATCAAATATAAATTACATCATTCCCCACCACTTCCAGGGGTGAGGATGATAAAGGGTCCTAGATTATGATTCCACATAGTAGTGTTCAATGGTGGGAAAGCTCCTCAGGAGATGCTAACAAACAGAGGGGTAGAGAACTACTAAGGTTCAGGCAGCAGGGACACTATTTTCACAAAGCTCCTGTGAAGTGCAATGGTGCAGGCATGTGTGAGGACTACTGACCTGCTGGAGCCCCGAGTGTCTACAAGTCAACCTTGGAAGCCTTCACTCACTCATGCCAGTCCTCTCATTCATAATCTCTTAAATGGCTGGGGGAGATGCCTGGACATAGTTGTCTCCCATCCTTACACACGTCTCTTCCTGGACACACTCACTCTGGTACTGCCTGGACTGTTCTATGCTCCCCTCCCTTTGATCTGTGCTCACTCAATGAGCACCTTCACTCCTCCCATGCTGTCCAGTTTTCTTCTCTGCTGATGCTTGACTCCCCTCCTCCTTAAGCCTCCACAACAGCTCCTCATTCTCCTACTTCCCTCTTTGCTCTTTCTTAAGGTCTTTGTACATTGCCTCCTTGGGTGTAATTCACTTCCTTTATGTTTCCTAAATGTTTGGACACTTGTATCATGTACAAAGCCCTCTTTTCTTTTCTTCCTCTTTGTTGGGGGGAAGTCCTGTGCATTTGTCAATAAAGCACTGCTGGCCAATAGGAATCTAGATAGGTGGGACTAGGAGTCCAGGAGGACTCTGGGAAGGAGAAAGAGGGAGAGTCGAGATGTAACACCATGGGGTAGGAACCCGGAAACTTCTCCGGTAAGAGACGTACTTAGATTAAAAATTATGGGGTAATTACTTAAGTCAGAGCTAGCCAGTAAGAAACAAGCAAGGCCAACAGCTTCATAATTAATATAGCCTCTTATGTGTTTATTTGGGACTGATGTGGCTCTAGAACCAGGCTGGCGGGAAGGCTTCTCTCAAGGAAAAAGCCTCCCTTTACACCTCTTACTTTCATTTTTTCTCTATCCTTCCACTCTACTTCCAAAACTTTCAGGATCATTGAATAGATCCTAGAGCTGGAGAGATGGCTCAGAAATTAAGAGAGCTGGCTGCTCTTCCAGAGAATCTGGGTTCAATTCCTTGCCCACATATGATGGCTCACAATCATCTGTAACTCCCTCTACTGCCTGCAAGTATGCACAAACATACATGCAGACTATAGGACCATGCACGTAAAATTAAAAACAAAATAAACAAAAAACTAAGCTCCTGAAGATCCATTTTCAACCCCTGTCAAAGTGCTAAATCCAATTAATAAACCTGTATTATTATTTGTCTTTCATTTGTCCTACTCTCTTGCCCTTCCTACAGCTCCTGTGGGCTGCTGGTTCTTCAATATCTCCAATGTTTATATTTACTGTCAGTATTGTAACCCTGGAGCCCATTGTGAAACAATTGGTTTCTCATGTTCCTCCTTACCTCTGACTTACTATTCAATGTTTACCAAAGTAACATTATTTTTTTCCTATTAAGTTTGAAAGAATCTCCTTGTCACATGGCAGAGGTAAGGAGGGATAACCTGTTTTCACCTGAGCCTGACCCTTTTGTCACCAATTCATTTCCTGCTGTTCTGTGTTTCTCCTCTGCCCACAGGACAGAAAGAGGAGGGTTTCCTAATTCCTGGAGGAGGAAGGAAAGGACTGTCAAGGTCAGATGCTGCTGTGACACCAGATGCTACAGGAATCACCCACCAAACCAGAGTGCAAACTGCAAACCTCTGTTACCACAGAGTCAAGTCGGTGCTGACTCCACCTCTCCCAGCTTGTAGACAGCTCACAGATGCAACTGATCCACCCTCAGGAGGGGACACACTCTGTCTTGGCTCCCAACTCTGCAGAAGGAGGTAGTAATGTGCTCCCAGGGAGACTCTTTTAACCTGACCTGGTACTTATTGTTGTTTACCTGGGATTGTGTTCTGTGTACAGGATCTTTACTGGCCCACACCCTGCATGACACTGCACTTAGGTAAAGGCAGTTGAGTGGACTTCCTGATTGTTGGCTTGGCATGAGAGAGAGAGAGAGAGAGAGAGAGAGAGAGAGAGAGAGAGAGAGAGAGAGAGAGAGAGAGAGAGAGAGAGAGAGAGAGAGAGAGAGAGAGAGAGAGAGAGAGAGAGAGAGAGAGAGAGAGAGAGAGAGAGAGAGAGGAAGAGAGGGAGAGAGGGAGAGGGAGGGAGAAAGGAGGGAGGGAGGGTGGTGTGCACATGGTCTGTCCTCTTCTCTGTCTTCTTAACCTTAGCTTGAACCTTTCTGTCTGCCAGAGAACAGATGAGAAGAGTGGCCAGAAATTAAAAATAGTTCTCGACTATGGAGGAAACTGAGGAGATTGTGTGTGTGTGTGTGTGTGTGTGTGTGTGTGTGTATGTGTGCATGTGCGTGCGTGTTAGTTTTTTTTGAGACAAGGTCTCAGTATATAATCCTGGTTGTTCTGGAACTCACTGTATAGAACAAGCTAGCTTGGCCTCAGACTCACACAGATGCACCTGCCTCTGCCTCTGCCTTCTGAGTTCTGGGAACAAAAGTGTACATCATTACAACCAGCTATGAGGAGATTTTTAGATTCCAAAGCACCAACTTGTTAGGGAAAGCCCAGTGTGGGGAATAAACGAGGGGGACCAAGCCTTGGAAGTGCAATGAGATGAAGACTAATGTGAACAAAGCTCCCGGAGGAAGGCTTCAGCAGCCACTGCAGGCATCAGGTGTGCCGGTCTAATGGGCTAAAGAAGCCACAACCGGAGCTGACGTGTCTGTTTGGGGTGGGCAGCAGTTGTGTGCTCTTGCCTTTTCCTTCTTTGGGGAGTGCTTTTGTAAATGAGGGAAACTGAGGACTTTGGAAAACTGTTAGTAACCCCAAAAGGAGAATGACCAGTGAGAAAACATTTCAGGTGCATTATTTTTGAGTTTTTAAGGTTCCAAATTAACAGATGATGGGTCATGGAATTGTGAACATAAGAAAGAGAATGAAACTCTGGAAAGAATCAGTTGCTTTGAATGTGTAAAATGCCATGTGGGAAATCAGATGTATTGTTGTCATTGTTGTCACTCTTTGTGAGCTCCGATGCTTTGGTGATGTCTGTGAGCTGTCACTCTGTAGACTCCGATGCTGTTGGTGATGTCTGTGAGCTGTCACTCTGTAGACTCCGATGCTGTTGGTGATGTCTGTGAGCTGTCACTCTGTAGACTCCGATGCTGTTGGTGATGTCTGTGAGCTGTCACTCTGTAGACTCCGATGCTGTTGGTGATGTCTGTGAGCTGTCACTCTGTGAGCTCTGATGCTGTTAGTGATGTCTGTGATCTCACCTAGATGCTTGCAGATTATCTGCCTTAAAAATATGTTGTTGCTCCTTTCCAAGGTCAACTTTCCAGTGGCATGAGATTGCCTATCAGGCCTCCTCTTCTCTGCCTTGTATCACCATTGGAAAAGCTGATAATATGCTTTATATAAAAAGATTTCTGTTCAAACAGGCTTCATGGGGATTCCAAGTTCATTTCAGACCCCTAGTCTCTAAGTCAGTGGAATAGGGAGAATGTCAGAACAACCCTCACCTCAGTTCCAGAGAATAGCAGGGCATGTGCCCCCTCACCTACCTACCTCATCCATCATACCAGCAGGTGCTGGAGACACAGAAGGCTGGGATCTGCGTGAGCCTGCCTCTGCAAGTCACCTCTGCCGTCTTCTTGTGTGGTGTCTCACAGGTTTGTCTCAGGAGAAAGGGAGAGCCTGAGTGTGAGAGAAGTGCTTAGGGATCCCGAGTCCTCATCCAGTGTTCTGTGCCTTTGCATAATGAGACCATAGTCTTCTTGGCTAGGAGACGTACTAAAAGACTACCCTTCCTGAGAACTGAGTTTGCACACTCAAAAAGCTGATCATGGAAATAGAATCGAAGGGGCATGTGTGAGTATATAAATAAGAGACCTGGGCCTCGATATGAAATTTTGTTCTGCCATTTATTCACATGGCTGAAAAAGACTTCATCACTTCTATGCTAATGGCTCAGTTTCTGCCTTTCCTCTTCATCATGGAAAAGCCTAACACAGTGGCTGGCATGCTGTATTTCCTTGATGTATAAAATCTGAAATCAGGAAGGATAACTTGTTTTTCAGGATGTTGGACATAAATTATACTGAATTCTTCCGGGTCTGAGCAGTTCTCACTCTTTCTGCTGACTGAATGTGTTCCCTTTAGCAAGTGAGCTTTCTTGTTGGATAGCTTGGGAGGAGAAAAGAGAAGGGTAGTTGATGAGTTAGGAACAAAAGTAGACTGTCTCAGCCTGAGCTCTCTCTTCCATAACATTTCTCTAATTTAAAGTATCGAGGTCTTCTGCCCCACAGTCTTTAACTGTTAATAACTCCCTTGACCCATTGTGTTTACCCAGGAGGCAAGTCACTTGGATCTTTGAAAACCATTGTGCTGGCAGATCCACTAGGGCTGTGATATAAATGCTGAGACTGTGAATGAAGCTTCAGACAGACAAACTCACACCTTAGTGGAACAGATGTCATTCCAGTGACGTTTCCTGTAGCACACACAGAGCTTTTGCTCTAGCAGGACAGATGATTTTCAATGTCCTATAACATGGCTGTGCTTTGGTGGGGGAAATTTCTTTTGGAAACTTGTGGGTATATCTGGGGTGGGGTAACATTGTGCTAACTAACTAGAAAAGTCAGAAGAGTTGTGTTATTGTTACAAATAGACTTGCCTCTGATGCAATGAAACAGGTGCAGAAACTCCCTGTGGTTGTGAATCCATGTAGTAGTTTGAGAGTTAGTATTGATATTTAAGAAAATTATGATTATCACTAACTTCTATAGAGTCCAGAATGTTGTCTTGCAACTAATTAGGGCCTTTATTCACCTGCCATTCTCATGATCTTTATATTGTATCTCTTTTTTCACTGTATGGTGGACCATCAATTCAAGTGGGGGAAATTAAATCTTTTCTAGGAAAATCAAGACATTGAGGTAACTGAGAGGAGAAAATCAAGGAATAACAATATTTCTGTTTCAGGTAGAACTCTGCCTGGAGAGATTTGGCAGGTACAGACACATGCAAACTGTAGCCAAGCTATATACAAACATATTTTGCAACTGTCAAATGAGGATCAAAATAAAACGCTGCACAGCTGCAAGAGTCCCTTGATTCCAATGCATGCAATTTGTTATTTATGGCACTAACCATGGAATAACGTTTTACATTCTTAATTATTTTGCAGCCTGTATAAGAGAAACTGTAGCCATGCTACAATTTTTTAACAAGATAAGAAAATTGTGTAAATATTAATATAGTATCATTATAAATATGCTCTTAATATATAAAATAGTTATCATTTTAATTATATTATTACTTCATTAATGTTGTTCTCAGGCACTTAAGTGACCCTGTAGGGAGATGCCACACAGGATTTAAGAAATTATTATTGGTTATGGGCTATAGGACTTACAACTCCAACACTTAACTATTATGCCTATTATTGGTATTATGAATTAATTTAACACATTTGTTATATCTTATAAGTATAAATGTTGCCTATAGAATTCTCCTAGAACAGCCAGATTAAGCCTTGAGAAAAATCATCCCACAGGATCAGGCATAAAGGCATGCCTTTTCTCAGCTTGATACAGATCAATAGACAAAGCCATTTGCTAATCAATTACTAATTTCATAGGGAAAGTGGCATAAGCAAATAATCTTTCTGTGACAAGCAAATGTGACTATCTTCTGATGTACAAGCTTGGAGGAAGATAGGGGTCTGTGTGGTAAGGTTCCTGTATATTTTATTCATTTTTTATTTATTGTTATGTGAGTATTCCTAGTAAGTATGCCTAGTGTGCAAAGTTTTAAAATCCTGGAGTCATTGGTTATATGCCACATGCATTTTGTCAAACTGTAACCATCGGAAATTATTGCACAATTATCTTCCTTTTCTTTTCTTTCTTTTTAAAACATTTCTTTCTCTCTCTCTCTCTCTCTCTCTCTCTCTCTCTCTCTCTCTCTCTCTCTCGCTCTCTCTGTGTGTGTGTGTGTGTGTGTGTGTATGTGTGTATGTGTGCATATGTGTGCTTGAGCGCATGCGTGCACGCATAAACACAGACACAAACATTTGCCATGGTGCCTGTGTGGAAGTCAAGGGCCAAATTTTGGGAGTTCTCATTTCTACCATGTGGGTCCTGGGGATTGAACTTCTGTTGTCCAGCTAACACAGCAAATACCTTACCCTCAAGTTTTCTTCCAGCTCGTATACGTATCTTGGAGGCAGCTTCACAGGGTGCATTTGCTTTTCACTCTAGTGTCCACTTAAATAACTTGCTGATTATTAAAAGCCTAGTTTCTTTAAACTACCAGAGACAAAGAAAAGCTGTGGTGAGAACCCTGCTCAGGAAGTATGAGTGAAGGTGTCTCAAGGCATTGGGAAGAAGGGTGGGTTTGGGTCACTGAGGGAAGGTGAGTTTGGCTATAGCCAGTTCATTGTAGAGTCTGTGCACAACATCTTCTGGTTACTTCCTTATATGCTAGTGGCGTGTAGTTTGGCTTTTGGGCGGAGCTCACAGTCTGAGTTGGCTACCAACTGACTCTTTTTTTTTTTCCCCATTTGTACTGTGTAGAGAGATTGTGTTCCTAGCACCTACTCCCCAGAAAGGCAAACTTGTTGAACTGGCTGCTCCCTGAACAAAAATAATTACTTACATCTGATAAGATCCTGAAAAGGAAGCAAGAGGAATGAAAACAAGAATGCCTTGAGACATTTTCAAGCAGGCTCTGAGCACCCAGCCCAGCTCAGCTCAGCTCAGGGTTAGTGTCAGGGCCTTCTCCTTTGCTCCCACTGCTGTGTTCCTGTGCTCCTGGCCTGTGGTCTCAGAAGGGTGGAAGTTTTCTGACCTGCTTTGTCTTTGCTTGTTTGGTTCACTATCTACAAGAGGTAGACTTTGCTGGCTTCATAGAGTCCTTGCTGTGTACAAACTCACAGACACAAAATTTCCCCGTTCCCTCTTCCTCTTTCTGTCTCTTTTATTTATTTATTTATTTATTTATTTATTTATTTATTTATTTATTTATTTATTTATTTTTGAGATAGGACCTCTTTATGCAGTCCTGACTGTCCTGAAACTCAGTATTTAGAACAGGGCGGCCTCCAACTGAAAAGAACCTCCTGCCTTTCCTCTCTAGTGTTGGAAATTCCTGGTCAATTTCTCTCTCTTTTATGCAACTTTTCACCACCTGCTGTCCCCCTCACATAAGCTGGCCACACATTCATCTCCCTTCTGATTTGTTTAATTTTGATCTACACTATATTCATGGAATAATGAAAAGTGAAAAGATGTGAGAGGCTGGATCGGAACGATTTCTTTGTTTATGTTTTTTTTGGGCAGAGGGTCTGTGTGCCAATAAGTAGTACTTTGACCATTAGCACCAATACGAAACCTAGTGTGTAACCATAGGAGGGCTAGGATGGCTAACAGACGATTTCACATCACTTCGTCATCTACACTTCCGGTTTTGTTTTTATCAAATCATTAAAAAATGAGACCACCCAGGATTATTAGCAGGAAAATCCCCGTGGTTTGTTTCAGAATTTGTCATCAGAATTAAAGCAGTAGGCTTCCCTGACTCCGGAGGCACCACATCCCTGAGCAAGGGCAAAGGGTAGGTTGCGAGATACGTAGAAGAATGGGGATTGTTGCCTCTCTTCAGAAAGAAACAGGTCTGTAGATGCCACTTAGAAGATGTGTGGGCTACATGGAGTTGTTGAGGATGGTTAGACAAACAACCTGCTCAGTCATAGCAGCTGTACCTGTGAGCAGCAACACTAGGTCCACACAGTCTGGTGCTCCCGACAGTCAGCTGTGACGGGAGAAGGGCTCCCTGGGCCCCACCACTTACCGCTGATCTGTTGTCAATGAATAGATTTAGCAGAGTGGGAGGCAAAGCATCCAGTTGTGTATCTACCAATTGGTGATTCAGATAGCCTAGTTAAACCTGTGAGACACTAGAGCAACAACATCATCCAAACAAAGAAACAAACTAGTAAATAAAGGAAAGAAATTTGTAAGGAAGATTTGGTGCTGGCAGAGGAGGTAGGGAAATAAGTGTGTGTGTGTGTGTGTGTGTGTGTGTGTGTGTGTGTGTGTGTGTGGGTGTGGGTGTGGGTGTGGGTGTGGGTGTGTGGTGGGAGAGAACCAGAATGTATTATATACTTGTATGAAACTGTCAAAGAACAAACTATATTAATAATGAAAAGAATCTCCAACGGAAAACAAGAAACTAGTAAGGTAATCTATTTGGAAAATTGCCAGCTGAAGTGGGAAACATTTTTATACTATAACATTTATCTTTGTGAGTGCCTACATGCCACCGCATTAGTGTGGAAGATACCCTCTGGTGTCAGGCTTTGCCTTCCAGGCTCTGTTTGTTGTTTCTCTTGCAGTATGTACCAGGTTAGCTGGCCTGCAGGCTTCAGGGGCTCTCCTTTCTCTGCCTCTCATTTAGGAGTGCTGAGGTTTCAGATACAGGAGTTCCAGGGGTCCAAACTCAGGTCCTTAGGCTCTCACCTCTAGCATGTGACATACTAAATCAATTCCTCAGCTGTACATTTGAAACACATTTATGTATGTATAGATGCATTTCCTTTTTACTTTTGTCACTGTTATTTATAGACTATAGGGATACCTTCTATAGTCTATGACCCAATTAGAATGTGGGTTTATTTGACTTCATCTGGTGGATGTAGAGGAGGTCTACAGAAGCTTTGAGAGCTGAAGGATTAAATGTTTTTCCTTGATAAATACTGTTTACTTATTTGTTCTTGCAGGTGTTTAAGAATAGGCAAGCCAAAGCATGAATCATTTCTTTTGACATTTGTCAAATATTCATTCATTGTCCAAGTAAAGGTGGAATGCAATGTTATGTGTAAGAAAATGTGACATGAAGCTTAAGGGAATTTAACATGCTTCCAGGCTGTCGTGGGGATAGATATTCTACTAATGGTCAGGATGGTGCTGTGGGTCCCTACTTCAGCATAGTCACGGAAATCTAGGTTGCCTTAAAAGTAATTTCAGTAGCAATGAAATGAAGGGATCTAGGCTGGAAAGCTGTATAAGAGAGAAAGGAAAATGCTTCAGGAGAAAAAGAATATTCCTTCAGCCTGAATTCCAGACAAAAGAACAGAGAGAAGTAGGTGGCTTAGAAAGCGTACCACGTGCTTAGTATCTAGAGATTCATAGGTATATTTAAAATTTCTACATGTGATCTTTTTTCTCCCTAGAATAACACTCACAGTCCTTGGAAACAAAGCATCACTGTGGCTGTTCTCTGTGTACTCCCTGTGGACCTTGTAGAGGAGGCTGGCCCTGTGGTGATGGGAGAGAAGGGTCACCTAAGCCGGGTGCTGTTGGAGTGCAGTCTCAGTGACAAGCTGTGTGGTAAGAGCAGACACCACAACTGCCTGTGATCTGATGCTATAACAATAGACTGAGTTCTGGATGGTTCTAGAGGAGGAGAGTTTATTTCATTTCTAGCAGGGATCATTTTTGCAGTGGGGGCTATAAGCCAATCAGAGATCAGGATAGAAGAACTGAACCTCATTGGTCTAAGATGCAGGGTTGCCCTCCATGAGCCTCCATTGTAGTGAATGAAGGGATACCAGGAGCACCGAGACATGGTGGGTAGGGGAAATTTGCAGGCTTCTTATTTCTCTTTGTGTTTATGGCCTACACAGTTGTTGTTCGGGAGCAACAATATGAAGTAATCATTGTTCCGGCTCTCCTGGTTGGTGGCTTCCTCATCCTTCTTGCAATCATCCTATGGCTTTTTATTAGAGGACAGAGATCCCAAAGGCAGCGCCCTGGACTCCGGGGTAAGGCTCAAATCCTGTGGGTAGGCACAGACTCAGGGAAGATCAGTTTTAAGGAAACTGTAGGCCAAGGTTTCAGTAGACTCAATCCATAATCAGATCTTACAACTCATAAACCCAAGCCACTTGCATCTCGAACTCCCAATGATTTTCTCTATAACTGCCTCTAACTCTACATTGATTTAGTTCTGCTTTGACAATGCAAAATGATTCATAAATGCCTTGATTGGTCTTTGTTTGTATGGTTTAAGAGCCTCCAAGAGCTTGTGTTCTACAGAATGGAAAACACCAAGATCCTTTTCATGGCCTTGTATGATCTGGACTCTCTGACCTTCCCAACTCTCTCCAGCCATCCCACTTGGCTTCCATCTCTACTGCCTCCCTCGCTTCTCCTTAAACATCCTAACTGCACTCCTCTTCTCTTTGTGCCTTCATACATCTTGTTCAATATACTACAGTGTCATCCTGGTTTGCTCTGTAATTGCTTCTAGGCCCTTATTATACATCACCATATCTGAAAGGCCTTTTTTGACTACTATAGATAAAGTGGTATTTGTTTTGGCTGTTTTCTTCCATAATACTGCCTCATCCATTCTTAATGTCCTATGATTAGAAACTAATCTTAGGCAGATGTGAACTGTGCCTATCCTCAACTTACAGACAGTGTATGGTATATGGTGATACTTACTGAACAGACAAACTGATTAACAAATGATTAGAAAATTTAATAAAGAAACAGGTTTTAGCCAACTGGAAAGGTAGCCAAGAACGGGAGATACTCTCAGAAGACCTTTTGACTAAGAGTCATGGAAATATAGAAATATAGAATGATTTCACTTTTGAGGGAAATCTGAGGAAAGAAAAGTGACAGCTGATGGCTGAGTGTCTACCTATACTCCTCCTTCAAGTCTGAAAGTCATGTGGCTGAGTTAAGACAGTGACTACTACCTTTTGGTACCATGGTGTGGATTCCTTTTCAGAACTGTCCTGTCCCTGTGCTACATCCATGGGAGCAGTGAAGGTAATCCTAAGGATGATAAAAAAGAAACAGGACCACTTTCAAGGGCTTCATCTTTAGTTTTTCTACAAGTAATGGAATTCTTGTGATTATTGTAAAAGCTCAGTGTTGGTACTCATTCGCTGAGAAGTATTAGAAGATTTCCTGTGTTAGTCATTGAAAATTCTGACTGACTAGTTTGTCAAGTCTGCCTTTCTAGTGTCCCCAGGGCAGGAGACAGATGGTGAACATTGTCTCTTTGTTCTAGGTACTGCCTCTGTACCTGCATCTAGGGACGTAAACCAGGAGACAGCAGGTCAAGGAGAAAAGGTGCTCCTGCCACTTAAGGAGACCTCCTCTGTGGAGAGCTTTCTTCAAGCAGCCACACCTCTGTTGGCTAAGCTTCAAGTGCCCAGGGAACAACTCTCAGACATTCTGGGAAAGATCCACAGTGGCAGTTGTGGAACCCTCTATCATGCTATGATGACCACCAGAGGCGACCCTAAGCCAAAGAGTGTTGTCCTCAAGGTTTTAGAAGGTAAAGTATGAAGACCAACTCCTCTACGCTTTTTAACTTCTCTGCTCCAAGCCTGTACCTGTAAATAGTAACAGGAACTGCAAACATGAAGATATCTATCAGCAGATATGCTTATTGTGTATACGGGAAGCTTGATGCAGAATTGTTCTTCTTGGGTCTTTAGATCTCTACCTCACACTTGCCTACTGGCACCAGTAAAATAGACATTTTCATAGTAGATGGACTTGGTATAGGATTATGGGATATTTTTCTTTACTGTTTGATTTCTTTTTAAATTTATTTATTTATTTGTGTGTATGTATGTGTGTGTATGTGTGTTCATGGCATGTATGTGTGAGTACAAATGTGTGTACACAAGTGTGAGGTCAGAGGCTAACTTTCTGATGTTGGTTTTTTCCTTCCAGTTTGGGTTCCAGTGATTGAAAAGCCATCAGGCTTCCATGTCACCTGTCACTGGCTTTCACACTCTCTCTGGTTCTTATACCCCTCCTTGATACTGTATCTCTTTCCCTTCCTCCTCTTTCTCTCTGCATGCATAGAAAATAAAACAAGGAAGGGCTAACACAAACGAAAGTGTCCATCCAAAGGTCCAGACGGTGAGCACTGTCTTTTCAGGAAGTTGGAAATCTGTGCAGGTCTTGACTCTGCAGTATTTCTGTTAGAAAACTGCTGACTGAGTATCACTCTCCTCTACATGGTCTCCCTCCTGTCCCCTTTCTAGCTGCACTTCTTACATTTTTGGTCCCTCCCCTACACGGGGACTTGAACAACACCATCAGCACATGCCCTTTGCTCTCTGTCTCCTCCCCATCGGCTGCACTTGACCATTCACTGACCTGGTTCTGGTTCTTCTGTTTTTCATAGAACCAACTGGACTCCGGGAAGTCCAGGATTTCATAGGGAGAATCCAATTCTATCAGTACCTGGGGAAACACAAGAACCTGGTACAGCTGGAAGGATGCTGCACAGAAAGGCTGCCACTGTACGTGGTGCTGGAGGATGTGGTCCCCGGAGACCTGCTCAGCTTTCTCTGGACCTGTCGCAGGGTGAGCAGTAGGGAAGCTGCACTAGTAGGGGAAAGCTTTGGTTAGCTTTTCATACAGCAATTAACACACAGATGACAAAATAATGTAGACAACACGTGGGTGAAATGATGGCCACTTTTGGATAGTACTATAACAAGTGTGAAACAACTATCACATGGCTAGGGGCTATCGCTATGGCTTAGTTGGGTCAATGCTTGTCTAGCAACAGGCCGTGTTTGACCCCCACCACAGCATAAAACTCTCTGTGGTGGCATATACCTATAATTCTAGCAACAGGAAAGATCTTGAGTTCAAGGTCATTCTCACCTTTACATCCCTTCCGAAGCCACCCACAGCTACATGAGACCCAGACTAAAAACAATAAAATTCCGTGTCTGTTCTCTGCACAATTAGCCACTATTAAATACTTGACACATAGCAGGAGAAACATATAATGAACTTCTTGTTTTGGGTAAGTGTACACATTGTGAGTTGAAATATACACTTGTGGCTGGTCACTTTCTTGTTGGGAAATGAAAGTTTAACGATTGGTTATTGCCTCCCCTGCCTAACTTTAAGACTTTGACAAGTTTTTCTCTTTTTTTGTTATTATTTGAGACATGGTTTCTCTTCGTGACCTTGCCTGTCTTGGAGCTTGCTCTGTAGACCAGACTATGTAGACAGAAATTTTCCTGTCCTTGTCTCTTGAGTGCTAGGACTAAAAGCATGTGCCATCATGTGTAGCCTAGAAAAATAATTCTGAACCGTGTTTTATAAATAAATCATCAAAGACATTATGTATGTAAGTAAAACATAGCAGCAATGGTACTTAATAAGCAATCAAAATGGTAGGTGTTAAAAATGATAATGACATAATGATATACCACTCTCAATAATAATGGTTACTCTGCTGTTGCTGCTAAGTGTATTTTCCATTCTGTAAAAGCAACTGAGTGTGCCAGAGCTGACAAGGGAGAAACTCAGCTATAAGCATTTGTGTGTCAAATCTTACAAAAGAAATAGCTCAGAAGTTTCTAGATTCTAATGGACTTCCCTTTTAAAACAATTAACAAGGGAAGAACATAACAATTCGTTATCCAGTACCAAATGATCATGCCTGAAAACATACACATTCAAGTAACATATAGACTAAGCAGGCTGTATTTGTATTTGTATTTATATACATACACATATAACAACAATTAAAGAAAAAGAGGCTATGAATTTGAATGCCAGCAAAAGGAGAACTATACATGGGAAGGTTGTATTATAATCTCAGAAAGTAAAAAGTTATTAAAAACATAATAATAATAACATAACAACAACAATAATAATAATATCCTTAGTTCTCTAAATGTTCCTCCCTGAAGATCTGAAGAAATCAGTGCCCCTGGTTTCTCACTTGCATATGATCCAGCTCAAGATTAACTGAACCCTCAGACGTACTGATGATTGCACAACTGGAGTGTGTGGGAAAGGTGGCTGTTGAATGAAGTCTGTCACCCTGTGGTGTGAATAAGGAGACCCTGTCAGTTTAAACCTTTCACGAGATCCTCCATCTGCCAGCACTTCTGTGCGCTCACCAATAAGAAACTGTCCACTCTTCAGAGCCGCCCTCTTCTCTGTTGCAGACCGTTTGCATCTGCTTTCCATACCGCATGGAACCCCTCTCCGTGCAGTTTGCGTCCACAAACCCTTCACCTCCCCATCTTCCTCTAGCCTTCAGGCGGCCCTCGCCTTCCTCTTACCATCCCATGGTCTGCAAGATGCTGCACATTTCCTTTGTGGCACTTACCATATGTGGCCATTCATTTATGTGCACTTTCCTGACTCTAATTCTCATGTCTGGCATTCAGTAACTCTCGAAGGCAGGGGCTTCAGGCTCAGAGGAGAAACTAACTGCACATGATGAATTTTTCAACTTCTTTTTTGTTTGGGATTTGAGCTTTTTCTTTTTCACAAATTATATTTTCTTCACTTTTGAGCACCAAGATTTGAGCAGGCAAACTGGTGTATGTAGGCCTTTCCCATAGCTGTAGTAATCATGAGCTTGTCTGCACACACAGTCCCAGGGAAGCTGCTGTGTCGTTCAGCAGAGAGTGTTATCGCTGCTTAATTTTCTTGCCTGCTCCTCAACTGCTTTCTTTAGCATATCTGCAGTTCAGGGGACCTTGTTCCTCTGCATATCTGCACGGGCCTTTTATTTGTCTCTCAATGAAGTATTTTTTTTTTTCAGAAAGATGGCTCAGCAGCTAGGAGTGCCTCCTGCTCTTGCAGAGGACCAGAGTTCAGTTCCCAGCATCTACATGGGGGCTCAAAGTTAATTTAGACTCTAGTTCCAGGGATCAGATGACATTTTCTGGTCTCCAAGGACACAAAAAATGCATATGCTTTGTATACATACATGCAGACAAACATTCACACACATAAAAGAAACAAATACACCTTCTTCTTATTTTTTCACATTTCTCTCTGCTCTGTGTGTGTGGTGGGGGAGCACACAGAAGTCAGAGGACAACTTATGAGAGCCAATTCTGTATCTCCACCATGTGGACCCTGGGGTGGAATTCAGGTCATGAGGCTTGGTGACAAAGCACCCTCACCCTCTGGCCATCTAGCTCTCCAGCCCCATCTCTTTGAGTCTTAATTCCTGTATTTTATTATGTCCTTAGCTTTGATATGTGCACTTCAGAGTTTCTCTGCCACAATTTTAGAAACTATGTGTTAGTCACTGTTACATAATGTTTTTCTTTCCTTCCTCTCTTTAGGATGTGATGACCATGGATGGCCTGCCTTATGATCTCACAGAAAAACAAATATATCACATCGGAAAGCAGATCCTTCTGGCACTGGTAAGATCAGCATAAATGGGCACGGATAGTGGGATTTTCTTATCAGCCTAGCATTTATGCTGCGTTTCTCACACTGATAATTCTGAATGAGGCATATATTTAAAATAGTTAGATTGAAGATAGTTAGATGAAGCTAGGGCAGACTATTCACCAACAGTTTGTTTTTCAGCCCCCTAATTATGAAATTATCTAGGTAATACAGTGCAGTATAAAGCATTCTGGGCAGAAGACAGCCAATTTAGGGTTGATACAGGAAACTAGAAATATGTAAAAGTTTACTTAGCTTGAATTTCAAAAGTCAGGGTCAAGATTAATTTGTTATTTGGACCTGTATACATGTAAAAGAGGAAACAACGGAAGCAAGATGGAAGAGATATGAGGGAAGAAAGCAAATAAGCAGAAGGATGAAGGATACAGACTTATACCTGAAAAACAAGACAAACCAGCTCAGACTGTGTTTGGTGGGAGACTTGCTTTATGATAGATGTGATGTGATATGATATATATACATATATATACATATATATAATATGTATGTAATAAACCTGAAAAAAATAAGGAACAAGGGGAAGAGAAAGAAAAGAACAGGAAAGGCCAACTGTTCCGTTATTTTCAAATCAACTCAAAGAGGTTTAAAAAATTTAGAGTTTCAGAAAAAATACCTTTATCAAAATTACTCAGGAAGTTTAAATAACTATGTCTGTGAAATTATTTGGATATATTTCAAATGGATATTTTCTGTGAAAAAAATCTAGGCTCTGTGAAACTTTGTTGACTTTTGTACCACAATATGTGAAATGGATCAGGGTCTAAAGGGACTCTTTTTTGTGTGTAGTAGTCATAGTATGGGGAATTGAACTTGTGCCTTTTGCATAGCAAGAGCTGCATGCTTGGCTCACCAGGTATTTAAATGGAATTAGGTAAAATGGAGTAAAAACAAGGTGATGCAAGAAAAGAGAAGTAGTCTGGTTGGAACCCTCACTGGATGGGGAGCGAAGCCATCACACAGCAGTTATCTGTACTTCTTGGAGGGTGTAGTCTTAGTGTTGCTAAGTTGTGAGCTTCAGTTTACCTTGCCTCCTGAATCATAAGTGCAGAGCTGTCTATCCTACAGGGGTGTACTAATCAAACTGGTGTATCCATCAGGCACTTGCATCACCTGTCACCAGGCAAGGCTATGGTTTTTGTTGTTACCTTTAATGATTTTAAAGTTAGTACATTCTTCAGTTCTTCTCATTATAGGATGATTTTCTTATATATTCCTAAATTCTGCTCATCGTAATTAATTTCTTTGTTCTAAAAACTCCCAAGAGACAGAAAACTGCTAGGCACAGTCTCCTTCTTCATCAGTGACCGGAAACTTTCACTCTAATTCTCTAAATTTTCTTTTGCTGTCAGTGTTGGTAATCAGAGCCCTAGATCTCTGGCTTTTCAGTCACACACAGCTTGAGTGGTTTCTTGCCAGAGGAGGTGATCCAGCATACATTATCAGCCACTGTGATTGTCACCCGCTTTTCTAACCACACCGGAATCCTTTGATTCTCGGTACTACAAGTCACTACCTCTCTTTCTAGATGGTGGCTTAGTAAATCTGTGCTAGAAGTCTTAAAGCTTATTCTTGCAAGTTCTCAGAGAACTTTGATCTGGAACATGGCATAAGAACTACTAGTGGATTGGTAGAGTTTGTAGCACCTCCTGAGTTAAGAGACTGACTTGTGGTCACAATCACCTCATGAGTGTGTGTCTTCTTTTGGATTTGCCTTAATGACACTCCGTAACTTCATCTAGTTCAAAGGGCAGAATGAGATGACTTGAACCTTTGTAAACATTTATGACAGGGCATTCAGCTTTTCTGCAAGCTTTGCTCTCTGTACCAGAAGCGACCTGAGTACCATCTAAAGGGAAGTACAGTCAAGAGGGGCTAGGGTTGGCACAGCTCATGTGATTATGCCCTCAGAGTGCAGTGTTAGGATGGGTGTGTAGCATGGTTGCCGAGTGCTCACCTAGAACCCATGAAGCAGCAGGATCCATCCTTAGCACTGGAGTGAAATCCCGTGTTAGTGCCATTTGGGTCCTTCACTGAGTTTGGTAATCCTAAACATATGGTGTAAAGGTCTAATCGCCTATCCTGCTTTGGAAGTGATCTCATTGACTAATGAGAGTGTTTGGAGCAGAGAAGACCCTTGTCTTTTGAAGGCCACCCATGACTGTCTTATTTGTGAACTTTGACCTTAAGAAGGCTGATTACCTTTGATCATTTGCTGATAGGAATTCCTGGAGAATAAGAATCTGTTTCATGGGGATGTGGCTGCCAGGAACATCCTGATCCAAAGCGACCTGACTGTTAAACTCTGCCGACTGGGCCTGGCTTATGAAGTCCATACCCAAGGGGCCATCTCCTCTGCTCGCACCAACACTATCCCTCTCAAGTGGCTCGCTCCAGAACGGCTTCTTCTGAGACCTGCAAACATCAGAGGAGATGTGTATGTTCCTGGTCTTTCGTTTCTTCTCTTGGAGGTCTGGTGTTTCTCCCTGAACGTGACTGAGTTAGCAGTCAACTATGTCTGCAATGAGATCTCTACTTGGAATCAGACATACTCTCAAGAGAAAATGTTTGTCATCTGCTTTCATTCATTTTTTAATACTTTTTCCTGTAGTTCTTGTGAGTTAGATTAGCAGATTTATTAGGAAAGAAACAAGTGACAATCATACTCAAATCGATGTTGGACTACTTACTTTAGTAGACTTGTTTTAGCCCTTAGGTCATGGTTCCACTTAAGAGTCAGGAAATGATTTGAAATACAGTATTTATACATGGTTCAAGTCACTTTCTTATGTGTCTGAGTCTTCCTGCATGAGCTTATGTGCACCATGTATGTTCAAGAGCTCTTGGTAGCCAAAAGAGAGTCTCAGGTCCCCACAACTGGAGTTCTAGAAGGCCGTGAGCCAACACAGATGTGCTAGGAGTTGAACTCAGGTTCCCTGCAGGAGCAATTAGTGCTCTTCATCACTGAGACATCTCTCTACCCCCAAATAACTTCTTATGTGAAGACTTTTCCATGCATATTTATTTATCAAACTTTTGAAGGAGAAAAATCTACATTTTGTGATGGGTCTTGAACATGCAAATACAGTATGATCCTTATGCCTTAACCTTCCAACTGCAGGGGTTACACGTATATGCCATGAAGCCAAGATATAAGCTGCATTGCTTGTCTGAATAGCTGTAATGATGGCTAATGACTGAGTGTTGCTTCGAGATGGTTCTTAGTATAGTGAGAGACCTGAAAATATTTGGGAAACAACATGAGACTTTTATTGCTTCCTTCCTCATTTTTTTTTGAGTCTGTCTCTGCCTCCCAAGTGCTGGGATTAAAGGCATGCACCACCACTGCCTGAGCCCCCATCTGTCTCAGTCTCATTTTTTACTATTGACTCATCTATACAATTTTGTAACAGGTTCAGTCTTTTGTAACACTTAAGTCTGTAAAATTTACTTGAAGTGGGGGTGGAGTTGAGACAGGCTCTTTCTATATATCCCTGGCTATCCTGGAACTTGTTTTGTGGGAAAGGCTGAGTTTGAGCTCACAGCAATCTGACTGCCTCTACATCCCATGTGCTGCAATTAAAGCCATGCACCACCACACCTGCCTCATTTTTGTTTTGTTTTAAAGACTGTCCTTAAACTAGTAACCTTCCCTCATCAGCCTCTCAGTTGTTGGGACTACAGGTATGTAATACTATTACAGCACATTTTTTAAAGCAGCATACTCTTATGTACTTATTTTTAAAGATAAATCTTATGCAAATATTTAAGTAACATCTATAGCATTTAGATGATCCCTTAACTGTAATTGCATATACACAATTAAAATTGATCTTTGGAAATCACATATATCTGCTGTTTGAAGAGGCACAAAATTTGAGGCAGAATTCCTTCCTTGGTGTCCCTACCACAGAGGACAGTGGGAATGTAAACATCAGGGCAATGAGTCAGTTGGGATGCTTCCACTGATGTATCTGCTTTTCAACAGACTGTGAGAAATTTTACTTATAAAATGTCACTCATTTAGTGATGGTATTAATAGAGATGTATGTATTTCTGTAGTCATATTGATTAGCCAAATTCCCTGTTCTAATGTCTAAAGTTTACTATTACTTTTTCTAGGTTTGAGTAAATAGATCCACTGAGAAAGTGATAGTTAAATGAGGAATCCCTCTTTGCTTTGTGTCGAGTAAAGGCTAGAGTTTGAGCACAGAGGGTAGGAAAAACTGAAAAAGAAAAAGAGGGACATTCTGTTTCCATGAGTGGATTTGTGATTGCACACTCAGATGCTAATAACAACAGCAAATGTGTGTTATGAAGAAGGGACACAGACTTGGTCCTCAAAGAGATTCTGAGGGGCACGGGCAGGAATGTAACAAACGCTGTCACTTTGCCTCTTTTTAAAACACTTCAGCTCTCCTTGACACCTTCATTTCCTTGCTGATGTTAAAGTAAGCGTTCTTTAGTAAAGATAAAGGTAGAAATTAAGTGGATGATTTTGTTTCTTTTACAGCTGGTCCTTTGGGATCCTGCTTTATGAGATGGTGACTCTAGGTAAGGATGGCTTCCAGGAAAGTTTGCTTATTTGGAGGGTGGATGTTATAGCCTTTGAGGACATGTTTTCAGGCCAGGCCAGATTGCAGTTGGTTGGCTCTTTCTTCCAAAGTCTACTAAAATGATGATTCCTTTTCTTCTCTCTCCCTCTCCTAGACCATCTTTAACTTTCTTTAGCTCTCCTCTTTTCCCCTTTCTTTCCCCCAAACCATACCAACTCCATAGAATGTTCTCAAACCAAAGGATAACTCACATAGCCATCTTATATAAACATAAGTATGTTTTCTTCAAGTTCATTAATCCATGAAATTTAGAAACGGTAGCTCCTTCTGTGCCATGAAAAGTGGAAGGCAGTTTTTATTTCCTGATTTGCTATGCTTTATTACTTTTCTTAAAACTTGGAAATTCCTAATATTACCTTCCTTCTCCAAAACAGCTTTTCTGAAATCCACTGCATTCTTACACAATCAGCAGGAAGCAACTATACTATATACCAGATTTCCCAGTGATTATGGTTTAAAGGCCAAGGTCGATGGACATTGGAGCTATTTTCACTTATATTTAGAAGGTCTCTTGTTGCTCCCATGTTTTTCATATTGACAGGGGCACCACCATATCCTGAAGTCCCTCCCACTAGCATTCTACAGCATCTTCAGAGAGGGAAAATCATGAAGAGACCCAGCAGCTGCTCTCATGCCATGTAAGTGGCTCTCTAAGACTTGAGTTTCTGTAATTCTAAATCATGCTTTGGTCCCTATTAACTAAGCTCTTTTCACTGTGCCTCAGATGATGGTTACTTGTCCTTATTTGCCAATGCACAGCCTTAAATGAAGCATGAGGCAAAACAAAAACAGTTCTGCTCAGCAACTGTATCAGTCACTTTTCTAACTGTTGTGACAAGATACCCAACAGAAACTGTTCTAGGGGAGAAAGGTTGACCTTGTCTCACAGTTCCATTATGGTGGGGAAGGCAGAGCAGAGGTACTCAGTCTGTGGCTATGAGAGCATGGAGACAGCTTGTTCACAAGCTTGTTGTGAACAGGCAGGCAGTGAAAAAGGCTGGAATTGAGATGGTTATAACCTTCAAAGGTTTACCCTAGTGCCACAAGCTGTGGATTAAAGCACTTAAAACACGGGTCACTGTGGGGGACACTTCAGGCTCATGTCATAAATACATCATATATGTGTACTTATATATGTATAGGTGTGTGTGTGTGTGTGTGTGTGATAGAAACATCCTCAATAACCCAGTCACAAGAAGACAAGCACGGTATGTACTCACTTATATATGTATTTTAGACATAGATCAGGGAGTGCCACATACAATCCCACTGTCAAAGAGTCTGGGAAACAGAACCTTTATCCAGTGACTGACAGAAGCAGAGGTAGACATCCACAGCTAAACACTGAACTGAACGCCTGGAATCCAGTGACAGAGAGGGAGAACTGTTGAGCAAAGGGGTCAAGACTGGGCTGGTTTAACCCAGAGAAACAGCTGACCTGAACAAGGGGGAACTCTTGAACTCCAGACTGATGGCCAGGAATCCAGCATGGGACTGATGCAGACCCCCTGAATGTGGGTGTCAGTGAGGAGGCCTAGGCAATCAATGGGTCCTTGGGTAGTAGATCAGTATTTATCCCTGGCACACAAATCCACAATGAGGGATGCTCTCTCAGCCTGGACTCTTGGCGGAGGCCCTAAACCCTGCCCTGAATGAAATGACAGACTCTGGAGATCCCCCATGGAGGGTCTCACCCTCCCTGGAGAATGGAGTGGAGATTGGGTGGGGGACTGAGGGGTCTGGTGAGGAGGAAAGAGGAGGAGGAGAGGGTGAGGGAGCAGGGATTGACATGTGAAACAAGCTTGTTTCTAATTTAAATAAAAATCCTCCCAAAGAAAAGAAGCATCCTCAAATACAATTTTGAGGTAACCACTGAGGATTTTTTTTTTGGTTTTCTTGAGACAGATTTCTCTGTATTGTTTTGGAGCCTGTCCTGGAACTCACTCAATAGACAAGGCTGGCCTTGAACTCAGAGATCTACCTGTCTCTGCCTCCCAAGTGCTGGGATTAAAGGCATGTGCCACCAACGCTTTTGCTTTCACAAGAAGCATTCAGACAAAGTTCCTGGCCTTAAAGACCCTAATACTCTGATGGGTGGGCTTTTAATCATCTCAAGTTTAACTATCTTTTCCACCATGTAGTGCAATAAGGTAACAGATAACTTCCTCTCATCCCTGTTATCATATTGCACTGCATGGTGGAAAAGGCAGAGCTCTTCTGTCACTTTGTAGTCTGAAAAGTCCCCAGCATTCTATTGTAAAAAGAAATGCTGAAAGGATGCTGACTCAATATTAAGGAATGCTAGAGTACCAGTTTCTAGAAATACAATGGGAGACAGGACAGAAAGATCAAACAGCTAAGGCTTTTATTTTGTTGTTGAAAAGGAATTATGTTCCTTTCACATTTGTTTCCATCTCAGGTACAGCATCATGAAATGCTGTTGGCACTGGAGCGAGAACAGTCGTCCTTTACCTGGAGAGCTGCGCTTGCGCCTGGAAGCTGCCTCTAGATCTGCGAATGATAAGGCTGTGTTGCAAGTGCCAGAGTTAGTGGTGCCTGAACTATATGCAGACGTGGCTGGCATCAGTGCAGAGAACTTTTTCTACAACTACAGTGTCCTTTAAAGATGCCCTCAGACAAGTGACTATATGTGCTTGGAATAAGCTCTTTCAAGAACAAAGGGAAGGAACTTTCTATGTGCCACACAGGGAGAAAAAGGAAGGACATCAACCCCACATTTTTCCCTATACATTTTCCTAGAAATATGAAATGCTGCTGGATGAGGCTCTACCTCTACACACCATGTACTCGAACTAAGACTCACCACCAATCAGGCTGCTTCCCAGTCCCGAGGGCCTGGGTACAAGTGGTGGTGGACAGGTCATCCTAAAGGAGATTTTTAAAATCTGCAATGATTGCTGGGGGATAGAGCAAAAGGGCTGGCCCCACCCATCTCAGGTTGGTTTACTACTAAAAAGTTTTTTTTAAAAAATCTAATCTATTACAGAGTATAAGTAAATCAGATGGTATGAATATGAATGAATAGGAACCCAACATAGGAATTCTTGAGAAAGAAAGTTCAAGATTCTTTTTCCTAAGAAATATAAGGTAAATCAAGATCTCCTTCAAGAAGAGATTTTGTCTCTTCTACATTGAGGGGATATATACAAATTGTTCAGTCCTGGCCCCTTCATGAAGAATTGGAGAACTAAAAGAAAAAATACTGAGTTTTTTCTTGACTATAGATTGAACATTTTATTGAATTCTGAGACAGGTGGACCCTGTCTGAAACTATGTTTAATTAGAAGCAGGAGTAATTTCATGGTTAAGAATGTTGTTCATCACATTTGCTTGATAGTCCTGCTAGAGTAAGTCTAAAGAACCAAAGGTGGAAGTGTGTGTGTGTGTGTGTGTGTGTGTGTGTGTGTGTGTTAGGAAACATGGAAAACCAAGGAACAAGACTTAGTTAGTAACCCAGGTTGTCACTAGGAGGTGCCAAAGAAGAGTAATCTGATACAGATGAGTGGTAGCTTCTAATTTTCAACCATCCACTGAAACACTGTGAAACAACTCATTAAATTAGTATTTATTGACGAGAAGTAGATTTTTCTTATATAGTTACTGCAATATCTACTATAGGGAGTAGAAAATAAAACAAATTTGAATTAATTTTAACAGGAAAATTAAAGAATCTATATTGTCCAAAAAGAGTTTCTTTATGTATAAAATGAGAAGACTTTCTATCTCACAGGGTTGTGTGAGGGTCATTGAGAATATATATTTGTATAATATGTCCTCAATAAATACTAGTTTCTTTTCCCCCATAATTCAGAATTCTTTTCTTTCTTTTTAAAAACATAATACCTACTGTGGCTAAGAGAAGAGTCCTGGACTGTGATAGTACAGGGCAGAACATCTGTAAAAGATGATGGTATGATATAAGCACCACATCATTAAATTGTTACCATGCTTTGTTTGTTTTCCAATATGGAGAACTGAACCCGGGGCCCACACACAGGGAAGTGACCTACACTGTTACTGAGCCATCATGTTTGTATGAGGTTTTGGCTGATGATAGTAGTCTCCTATGCTTTCAAAATACTGTAAAGTAACAGTGAGGGCAACTCTGTTTAAATGCTGATGTGTGACCTTCCAAGAATACCCTAATATCTTTAGAAGAATGAGGAGAGCTATAATAGAAAAGATGACTGGCAGCTGAAAACTGACAAAACTGAATCAACTGAAATCTTAATGTAGTCATAATGACTCAGCTAAATAATACCACAGTGAGTAGTCAAGATTTAGATGGCTGGAGAAAGAGGATGAGATTCAATTGTTGCCTCCCAGCTGTTAATTTGAGCCACCGTACAAAATATTTCCTTATTTGAATATTTAAAAATGTTGAGTGTCAAAGCTTGCTGTGCCAGACAGTGGGAAATGTGTTGGGTAAGAAAAGTGGGAGCTTTGCATATAGTCAGGCAGGATGTATTTATGTGTGGGCATCTAACTAAAAACTTACCTTAAATGTTATGAATGCAACCCATGTGATAGTAGGAGAGAATGCAGAGTGAAGAGCTCTCTGATTACATGGCATTTAAACTGAGACCCTAGGGAGGGCTCAGGGAGTCAAAGGAACAGTAAAGCAAATTCTCCAGGAGTGGGATTTGTATGACAACTTTGTGGTAAGAAGAAGTAGTGTGGGGCTGAGGAGATGGTTTAGTGGATAAAGTGCTTGCCATGAAAGTTTGAAGAGTGGAATTCGGATCCCCAGAGCCTTACCATGTAAAAAGTCAGATGTGGCAGCACCCATCTCTAAACCAGCATGCCGCTGACAAGCCCAAAGTGAAGACAGGACTCCCCAGAATGTTGCAGGCCAGTTACACCTTATACTAGTAGAATGTGGCTGTTTGAATTTAAGTTAAAAGTTATGCTGTGTGTTTAAATAAATATGATACTGTTGTATCTGTATGTCTTCTTTGTCCCACCAGCCAGCTTCCAAATAATTTCATAGAGACTTATTACTAATTATGAAAGCTTGGTCTTAACTTAGGCTTGTTTTTAACTATCTCTTATACCTGAAACTATTTTTATTTAGCCATGTTATGTCACATACCTCTCATCCTGTACCTTTTGTGTCTCCTGGCATCTCTTTTGCATGCCTAACTTCATCACCAATTTCTCTCTTTGCCTGCAAGTCTTGCCTAGTATCCCTGCCTAGCTATTGGCTGTTTAGCTTTTTATTAAACCCACAGGACATACAGTGTAATCAAATATCCAGCAACAGCTTGCCTCCCAGCTGTTCCAGACCTAATATGCAATTAAGTCTATCATAACATGGTAATCAATTATCCTGCCTGATAACCAGCGGTATAAAGGTGTTTGGTGTTTCAACATGATGGGGATTTATTTGAGAAGCATTAATAACTAGTGGAAAAAGACATGGCTAAAATCCATAGGGAAATCTAAGATTGAATAAAAGACAAAGGATGGATATGGGCAGAAATACATCACTACATTTTGGTTTTTCTTTCTTAAAATGCTAGTAAGGTATATTAGACCGCACACTACTATTGCTACGCAGATTCATTTTACCAAAGGAGAATGCTCTGACATTTAAGTCTATAAATACATAAAACGAATAAAAACCACTGATATTCATTAGAAATGAAAATACAAGCTTATTACCTGTAGTGTTAATCATGATACAGTTGGAGAGTGTTTCTGAAAATTGAAAGAGGGAATGATTTGATCACTTTCAATGGACTTAAAAGATGTAGATGGGCAGAGGAGACATAAAAAGAGTTCAAAAGAAGAGAATTCTATAAGCATAAACAAAGCCCAACAGAGCATTTATGACATTAGCAGCTCTAAAGAAGAACCACACTCCCCAAAAGGCAGGTGTGTGGAACACACTAGTTATTACCAATACTTGGTCAGGAGTTTAAGGCCAGAATAGGTTACATAAGTGAGTTTAAGGCCATTTAAGTCAAAGTACCTAAGACCCTGACTCAATAAAAACAAAACAAAACACAACACAACCAGAAATCAAAGAACCACATGATTGAAAAAACACTTGAGTGGAAAATAATAATAAACAGATATTGTACATTAAACCACCAAACCTCAGTTTCCATTGCAGTTGGGAATGTTTGTTTCCTAATTCAAAATAATTTCACAAGTTTTTGTGAAGCTAATCACAGTGTTGGCAAAGGCAGAAACAGTCCTTTAGTTTCATGTAAGTGATAAAAACATTTATTTTCACAAGTAAATGGTGACAATGTGATTACACCCTAATCTGGAACCTACAGTAACTGAGAAAGGAAAATGTTCACAGCATATTTTCACTGCTTCCAGTCTGATTAAGGATATCTGAAAGTAGTTGTTTGCTTTTGTTTTTCTGAGGCAGGGTTTCTTTGTGTAGCCCTGGCTGTCATGGAACTTGCTTTGTAGAACAGGCAGACCTGGAACTCACAAAGATCTGCCTGCCTCTGCCTCCCGAGTTCTGGGATTAAAGGTGTGTGCAACCAACGCCCGGCCGATCCGTTACTTCTTATACTGATCACAGTGCAAAGGTCCTATCTTGGTACTACCATGACTTACAATGTGAAAAGTCAGGTAAATTCAGTTTTCTAGTTTATCTTAAAAACACACAGCATTCTATAGGACCTAAGGCCACTGAAGGAGGGTTTCTGTAGAATTCAGTGGAAAGGATTATAACTGATATTTTCACAGATGCTTTGAGAAACACTGTGCTTATGTTTCTGTGAATTATTTTTGTAAGAATTCTGGCCCTTCTAGGATTTAAAACTGAAAGTTTCTCAAACTAGAAAACTCCTCAAACCTGGGTGAGGTTTAGTGAGTCATCCTAGTTGTATGGTTGTAAGGTGTGGTGATTTATGCTTTTTAAGTATTTCCATAAACAGCATCCTACCACCCTACTATGAGAGTGAGTGCATTTTATAACAACTACACGGCTATTAAGATGACCAAAGAGGCTGGGCAGTGTGGGTCATACCTTTAGTCCCAGCATTTCGGAGACAGAGGCAGGTGGATCTCTGTGAGTTTGAGGCCAGCCTGATATGTCTATAAAGTGAGTTCCAGGACAAACAGTGCTACACAAAGAAACTCTGTCTTGGAAAAACAAAACAAAATGACCAAAGAAAATCTTCCCCAACTCATCTTGAAAGTTACCCCACTTTCTTGAACCCTACATTCTAGTTATTTATTGATTTCAAGTATAGAAACTGTGTCTGTTGGCTTTCTCCACACCACTTTACCTAACTTGGTCATCCTTGCCTGAAACACTTGTCTGTACTGAAGGACAGTCACAGAATTTGCTCATCAAAAAGCCAATTTAAATAACACACCCTTTATAAGTCTTCTTCAATACTCCACTTTTTAATAAATTTCTGGTTCCGCCTACAATAAAACCACTTGCTTTTTTTTTGGTACAGGATGCTTTATTGCATATATACTATATGTAATACTAATTGCTTCCCTGTGCTGATGTTTGCTTTCCGTGTTTGCCTTCTTTTAAGCCAGAAGGTGCAAATAGCTCTATTGCTGTATTACTAAAGCCCCTCTGTTCTGGCACCTGGGAAATACTTGTTAAAACTCATGTTGCACAGATTTCGGAGCACACTGTATCCATGTTATTTAATTTTCTCAGCTCTGTGTTTGGCAAAGTTGATTACTGTATATCTAGTTAGTTAATGATCAAACAGGTGGAGATATAATTGGGCCACGACAGTGCTGAGATTGTACTTTCTCAGGATTACCACAGAAGGCTATCAGTCACCAGATAGGATTACTCAGTGTTGGTAACAGAGGTGATCAGGATTTGAATCGTGGACTGAGTGCAAGTTCAGTCATTTTGTGCTCTTCAATACCATGTCACACCTGAGTGCTCCTTACCTCTCCAATTTAAACTGCTGAGAATTGTGGCCCAACCCCCAAATACACAGGCTACTAACTGTTGATCCTTACTGAATGAAGCAACTTATAAGTTCTACTTAGGAAAAACTTTTCCACGATGGCTGTCTGGGCTTTTCAATCTCATGTGCTGTTTGAACATCAAACTTTCCACTAGAACAATTCATTTTCTTTGTCTTATTAAAATTTATTTTTAGTTTCTGTTTTCTCTCTTAGTCTTGCTTTAGACTGTTGGCTACTGGGTAACTGAAAGCTTCTGTTAGGACTCAGGAAGATTATATTCCAGTTGCCACTGGAATGCGTCACCTCACCAGTTACAGGAAGTGGAGCCACACCCCACTTTACAATGTGCTTCGAGATCAGAGATACCCACAATAAGTACAGCTTGTAAACCTTAGTTCAAAACCCAGAAAAGCCACACCCACACGAGCGGGCAATCAGAAAGTATAAGTGGTTTACGACTGTTCCTTCCAAGCCCATTAAAGAAAAAAGGAAAGCTATTTGTTCATTACTAAGATGAAATGAAATTCGAGGGAAGATGGATGAATCTGGAAATTATTATAGTGAGGGGTAACCATGAAGTATTAAGACAAATAACCCACTCACTCTTGAATGTGGATCTTAGCTTGCGTATGTGGTGGTTAGAGGCTTGTGAGTGTTGGTTATTAAACCAGAAATGGAGTGACCAGGGTAACAAGGCACACTTGACCAGACAGTGCATGTTATGACAATGTGTGGGGAACCTTGGCGGATTCCACGGCAGGCGAGGGTGACCAAGGCAGGGGACAAACACGCCAGGCAGACAGAGCTTCAGTGAGATTAGAAAGGGAAGGGGGGCGGGAGGATAGAAAGGAGCTAAAGAGACACAGCCACAGAGAGTACAGAAGAGAAGAGGGACACAGGAAGAGTCCTGCCTGCCCACAGGGGACAGTGGAGAAGAGAGAGGGAAGAGAGTGTAAGTGGGCGGGGTCTTTCTTTTAAAGGGGTCCTTTGCACCTGGCTGACCAGGGTGCCAGGTGACAGGGACAGGCCAGCATGATGCCTGAATCCTCACAGTGCAAGCAGGAATGCCGCAGGCAGATGGGTTGGAGGCAGTAGATGGGGACCGGTGGCACAGGAGGCTACCCCCAAACAATATAGACTCCCGTAATGAAATCCAGGGACTCTGGCCTCCATTGTGCTCACACAAACTAGCAAGCCTCATTAAACTCGCTGAGCCCGCCCCCGCCCCACCCCCAACCCAGACACCAGTGAGTAAGACATGAAGACCAGCAGGACTTATTGGGAAGAGCGGTTCAGCGGGAGGAGAGATGAGCTAGGGTAATGAGGAGGAAGTGACTAAAATTCATTATGTACCTGTATGAAATCGTCAGAGAATTAATTACAAGGGAAAAGCAAAACATATAAAAATCCTTTCCAAAAAACCAAAGCTGTGCTTGGGATCCTGGTGAGGACGCTCCAGTGCGAACCTCTAGCTCTCCTCAGCGCGTCTGGCCCGACCCCGCGGCCTTCCAGGCTTCTCAATCTCCCCGGGAGCCAGCGCGCCCGCCGTGACGCCCTTTTCCAGCGCCTCTGACGTCACTGCCCCGCGCCGGCGGCACGTTGGCCTGGCCGTGCCTCGGGCTGTGGCGACGGCGGAAATGTCTTTGGCTAGTGATTTCTACCTGCGCTACTACGTGGGCCACAAGGGCAAGTTTGGGCACGAGTTTCTGGAGTTCGAGTTTCGGCCGGACGGTGAGCGGCGCAGGGGCCGCGAGGGAGGGCGAGCCCCCGGGGGGTGGGGTGGGGTTCAGTTTCTTCCTTTCTGTTTTCTTTCTTCCTTATTTTAATTTACTTGTTTCGTTTTGAGTCAGGGTAGGGTGGGAGGTCTTGTTGTTTAGTCCAGGCTGACTTCGAACTCACGGTCCTCCGGCTTCAGCCTCCGGGATGTCGGGGTGACAGGTGTGTCACCATGCTCCAGCCTCCCCGCGGGGCACGAAGGGCTTCTCTCCAGCTTAGAAAGAGTTTGCGCGTGTAGCAGGCCTGGGTGT